ATTTTATTGAGGATTTTTGCATCAGTGTTCATTAGGAGATTGGCCTATAGTTTTCCTTTTTGTGTTGTCCTTATTCGGTTTTGGTATTAGTGTAATATTGGCTTCATAGAACGTGTTTGGTATTGTCCCTTCCTTCTCAATTTTTGGAAGATTTGTGAAGGATAGGCACTATTCGTTCTCTGAATGTTTGGTAGAATTCATTTGTAAATCCATCAGGTCCTGGCTTTTTGTTTTTGGGGGAGGTTTTTGATTACCATTTCAATTTCGCTGCTGTATTGGTCTGTTTAGGTGTTCTATCTTCTTTATCTAGCTTTGGGTGATTGTAGAGTTGTAGGAATTTTGTCCATCTCCTCTAGATTTGAACTTGTTTCCATATAACTGTTCATAGTAGTTACTGATTATTCTTTGATTTCTGCTGTGTCCGTTGTGATTTCTCCTCTTTCATTTATGATCCTGTGTATTTGTGCTTTCTCCCTTTTTTCCTTTGTGAGCCTGGCTAGGGTTTGTCTATTTTTTATTTTTTTCAAAGAACCAGCTCTTGGTTTCATTGATCTTTTGGATTGTTTTTTTAGTTTCAATTCATTTATTTCTGCTTTGGTTTTATTATTTCTTTTCTTCTACTGGATTGGGGTTTTTTTGTTGTTCTTTTTCTAGATCTTTGAGCTTCGAGATTAGGTTGTTTCTTGAGTTCTTTCTTGTTTTTTGATGTGAGCTTCTATTCTATATATTTTCCTCTTATTTACTGCTTTTGCTGCATTCCCATACATTTAGGATATTGGTGTCCTCCTTGTCATTCAATTCAAAGAATTTTTAATTTCTTCTGATCTCCTCATTAGTCCAGTGGTCTTCCAGTAGTGTGGCTTTTAATCTCCATGAGGTAGGTAGGATAGTTCCTTGCCTTCTTTTATGATTTATTCTAGTTTGATGCCTTCGTGGTCAGAAAAGATGGTTGGTATGATTTCAATCTTGGTGTATCTGTTGATGTTTGTCTTGTGCCCCAGTATGTGATCGATCCTGGAGAATGATCCGTGTGCGCTTGAGAAAAATGTGTACTCCGTTTTTTTGGGGTTTAGTGTTCTATAGATGTCTGTTAAGCCCAAATGCTCTAGGTCCTTATTTAGAGCTTTAGTTTCTTTACTTATTTTTTGTCTTGTTGATCTATCCATTGTTGATAGTGGTGTGTTGAAGTCTCCCACTACATATGTGTTTTCTCTGATGTCTGTTTCAAGAGGACAACAGTTGTCTGATATATTTTGGTGCTCTTTCGTTTGGTGAGTATATGTTAATGAGTGTTATTTCTTCTTGAAGTATTGTCCCCTTAATCATAATGTAGTGACCATTGGGGTCTCTTTTTATTTTTTGAGTTTGAAGTCTGTTTTATCTGATATAAGTATAGCTGTTCCTGCTTTCTTTTTTGGCCCATTTGCTTGTAGGATTGTTTTCCATCCTTTGACTTTGAGCCTATTTTTATCTTTTGTAGCTAAATGTGTTTCCTGGAGACAGCAAAAGGTGGGTTTTGTTTCTTAATCCAGGCTGCAACTCTGTGTCTTTTATGAAGAGTTTAGTCCATTTACATTTAGAGTTAATATTGATATGTTAGCATCTGTATTTGCCATTATGTTTGTCTTTCCTTTGATTTTATTTATTCTTTTAATAACTTTTTTTTTTTTTTTTGGTCTTCTTTCGTTGTTATTCGTCCCTCTGAGGTTCTGGCTTTAGGATTCCTTGTAGTATTTTTTGGAGTGGGGTTTAGTCGTAATGAATTCCGAGAGTTTCTCTTTGTCTGGGAAGGTCCATATTCTTTCTTCTATGGAGAAAGAGAGCTTGCGGATAGAGTATTCTTGGTTGGCATTGTTTTCTTGGAGTCTGTTGACTATGTCCCTCCACTCTCTCCTTGCCCGTAGTGTTTCTTCAGAGAAGTCTGATGTCAGCCTGATTGGTTTTCCTTTGAATGTTATCTGTTTCTTCCCTCTTGTCAGCTTCATTATTTTCCTTGTCCTGGATTCTTGGGAGCTTTACTATTATGTGTCTTGCTGTTTTTCCTTTCGTCGTGGAAGTTTTGGTGTTCTTCTTGCTTCTTGTATATCAATTTTCAGCTCCTTCTTCGCATTTGAAGTTCTCTTCAATTATCTCCTGAATATTTTCTCTGTTCCTACATCTCTCTCCTCTCCTTCTGGAATTCCTATAAACTCTTTATATTCCTTTCCTCATGGAGTCAGATAGTTCTCGAAGTCTTTCTTCATTCTTTTTCCTTCGTACTTCTCTTTCCTTTTCTGTTTTGGTTCTTTTTATTTCTGTGTCTTCAAGAGAACTTATTCGTTCTTCCATTTCATCTATTTGCTTTCCCTTGCTTTCCCGGATTCTTTAGTTCCTCCATTAATTCTTTGATCTCCTGCATTTCCTTTTACTTCCCTCTTTAGGGACTCAATTTCGTTCTTCTGACCATGTTTTCCTCTTTATGACTCAATTTCCTTCTTCTGATCTATCATTTTTTAATCATAGGCAATTTTAATTTCTCTTTCTGAAGGCTCAGAAGTTCTTCCAAGTTGCTGTCGTTGCAATCTGGGGAGTGGTTTTCTTTGTGGTGTGCTTCTTCCTGAGGAGTTGTTAGGTTGCGTGTGGTTCTTCTACTCCCTACTGTCTGTTTTCTTAATTGTTCGTATGCGTTGGGACACTGTGTTGCTCGGACTGACTGGCATCTTGGGTGAACTTCTCCGCTCCCCTCTGGCTCTTCCAGGAGCCATCTCTGCCTTCTGGGGGAGCTTTCTGCTGGTTTTAGGCAGTTTACTGAAGAAATGTCCCTGTCTCAAATGGCGAAGCGGGATGCAGTCCCTGCACCTCCGGTTTCAGCACACTCTTCTGCGCCCCCGGTCTGCCCCGGACGTGGGTGCCTGCTCCCTCTGTGGGCTCAGACTGCTGGTCGGAGGGGGCCTGGCGTGGAATAACTTCCCGGCTGGCCACTGCAGAAGCCTTCTGCCCTTTTCAAGCAGTCTTAAGAAATTTCCTGTTCTAAGGGGTGTTAGTGACTTTTTTTTTCCTGGTCACTAGGTGGCGCCAGAGATCTCTCCTATTGTCCTTGGGGGGCTGTTTCGTCCCCCCCACCCCGTGGACAGGGAACAGAGCGGAATGGTAGGGTACACCTCAACAGCTTTGGGGTGCTGTGTCTGCCTTGTGCCCCACCGTCGTGTGGAGAACCACGCCCCGAATTTTCGTGCCCCGGGTCTCAGTTCAAAGCCCTCAGTTCCAGACGCGGGCTGTAGCCCAGTTCAGTGGCGCGGGAATGGCGCCTTTTGCACCGCTCCCGTGCCCGGGTGCCTGGTTCCTGCTCACTCAGGGAGGGACCTTCACCTCAGTGAGGACCTCCGCGCATCTCCCCGCAAGCCTAGGTCGTCTCCCCGCAAGCCTAGGTCGCAGGCGCGGGGACCTGGGCAGCCGCGATCCCGGTCTGCACTTGCTTTTCAAGCTCCCCGAGTGCGCCGCATTTCCGCGCCAGCTTACCGGCAGCCCGGGCTGGGTGCGCGTCTCCCGGGGTCTTTGTTCTTCTCTAATGGCGACCGGAGCCGTTCGCTCGCCGCCGCGGCGAATCCTGCAGGGTTCGCCTCAGCTCCCGTTCACGGGGTGTGGTGGCTGCAATAGTTCCTTTCCACTCACGGTCCTGCTTGCTGCGTCATTTGTTCTTGTTGGTTGTTTTGGTTTGTTGTTTTTCTCTCCTCTCTGCCAGTGGGAGAGTGCGCCTCTGTGGGCGGGGGAGGGGAGCAGGGTTCTGCGCTTCCCTCCCTTCTAGTCCTCTTTTATGGCCACTTTCTTCTTCGGGCAGTTTGCTGGAGTCACCCGTTTATCTTCCGTGTCCCAGTTCTCACTGGGACCTGCCGCTTTTCCTCCCTATTCACTTTTTTTAATGGGAGATCTTACTCGCAGCGTCTCCTCGCCGCCATGTTGCTCCGCCCCCCCCCCCCCCCCCCGTGTCCATGTTTTCTAAGGCTTAGCAAAATCAATTTTTGGGTCTCAGTATGTACATGACCAACCAATATAATATCATCTCATGTGCAAACCACACTTTCCAAGGCTCAACCTGGAAATATTCACAATGTCAATTTTAGATATTACTGAAAAAATGGTCTTTGAGTCTCTAGTAATTTGATGCATGCCTGCAACTGATTAGAAGTAGCTGTGGATACAGAGAACTGGGTCTGATATTTCCTTTGTGAGGTGATAGAGTGGAGAGAGAGCAAAGGTTTTTGTGAAGAGAAAAACAGAAGAGAATCCTCCCATCCTCATCACAGAAGTTCTCTTCAGATGAGATTCCTCCTTTAAATCCCCACAAACCAAAGGAAAATCTTTGTCTCCTACCTGGAGCAGATCCAGGGTCTCCCTTCTCCTCATCATCTCCTGTATAATATGGCAACTTAGTTGCCGAGTCATAAGACAGGTTTCCTGGTGGGGAGACAACATCACAGACAGAAAATGTTACCATAGTAGGAGGCCCAGTGTCAAGAAATGGGGCTTCAGAGTTGTAAGGAGAGGCCTGGAAGGCTTGCCTTGGGAGGAGGGAGAGACTGAGTCTATAAATGTGAAGGGAACCCATGGTCAGCTCAGGAACAGCAGGGAGGGCATGGGGCACACCTGGGCTGTCCAAAAGGTCCTCCTTTTCTGGTAGAGCATAGTTATCAATCTCGTGGTACAAGGCCTCATCTATGACATCTTCAAAAGCAGGTGAGGCTGCAGAAAATGGCACGACATCAGAGAAAAGTCCTAGAGACAATCCCTATACAACAGGCAAGGCACATGGCGCTCTCTTGTGCCCATCTCGGGGGTGCCCTCTGGGATGCCAGAGCCCCTTCCTGAGCTTTGTGGGACAGAGACAGCTCTCTTGACACTGATTGCGATCCTATACTCAATTCCCAATGACACTGTTTCCATAGTAAGTCATAATTTTTGAGAGGTTTTACATTTAACCTAGGATTCAGCTGTCTCGAATCTTCAAGGCTACTGTAGAGAAGGTGCTTTTTACCAGTCTGTGAGGATGGAGACAATATAGGGTACTTTTCTTGGTATTATAACTGGCTCAACACCTTCCCACGACTTCCCTTTAGCATCCCCATGGCCCACCTTGGTGCTCTGCTCTCCCTCTGTGCAGCTGAATCCCCAGGACGACCAGGACCAGAAGGAGAAGGGCCCCCAAGATGATGCAGAGGACCCCAGGCAGGGAGAAGATGCCAGGAGCAGGAGCTGAGTCTCTTCTGCTGACTGAGGACCACAAGAGGATTGTGAGGTTAAAAGAGGGTTATAGGTCCAGGAGAGCCCTTCCCCACCCGCTTTTCTTGCTCATCCACTGAGTCCTCATCCATAAAGTTAGCACTCAGAATCAATGCCTGGGCCTGAACCCAAGATGTGCCCATACAGATCCTGCCCTGGTATGTGCCAACTGTCTTCTGCATCTGTTTCTAAGGGATTTTTATTAAGTGAAGTGGATGAAGTTTTGGAGCATTATGACTGCCAGAGATAACAGGACTGCAGCGCCTGAGCATGGACCTTTCCTGGGTGATATGATAATTTCCCAGATTTATGTAGATTCCACTGCCCAGATCCCTGAAAATGTGTGTGTGCCTCTATCTATGACTCAGGGAAGAAGAGCCACTTACTTCCAAGGGTGGGGGGGATTCTTGTCCTCTCACCTGGAGAGAAGGGGAGAGAAGGGTCAACTACTGAGCTGGGTGGGAAAGCCCCAGGTCACACCTCCCACTCTGGCACCTTGTTCTCTCACAGCTTCCAAGGCATCAGGCAAGAGCCACAGGTTGCCAGGCCCAGAGCAGCACGTGAATCCAGGAAGAGCCTCTAGATGCCAGCACATGTCCCCTCTTCCACCCCCAACAGGGTCGCCCACTCACCCGAGCACCTCACTCCCGCGTCCTCCTCGTGCTTGCAGTCGCTCTGCCCCCAGGGAGCCGCAGGGCACTCCCACAGGGAGGACTCCCCGCCCCTGCACCGCACCTCGTCCAGCCAGATGCTGCCATTTCCAGGGCCAAAGGCCGCCGCCCGCGGGGCGTCCAGCGCCGAGCCACAGCCCAGCTGCCCGCACACACGTGGGCCTCGGCCAGGCTCCAGGAGTCATCGCACACCGTGCCCCACGCCCCCGCGTGCCACACCTCCACGCGGCCCGAGCACGCGCTGTCTCCTCCCCGCAGGCGCAGCTTCTCCCTGTCTGCAAGGCCAGGGGCCGCTCTGTTAGGGTCCTGAAGGAGGAGCCCCAGGTGGACCTGGGAGCTGGGAGGGGCTGATGTACCTGTGCAGGGGGCTGCAGATGGACAGCTCTTGGGCCTCTTTTCTGTGGAAGCAAAGGGGGAGTGTTGGGTCAGCGACAGGAGGGAATGCCATGGCCCCCAAACAAGGTCTGAAAAAAGCAGCTGAAATTAATTTATCTTTGTCTTGTGTATCACTCTCCATGCTCCACACTAACACACACACAGATGCAGCTTTGCTAGAGGAAAGACCCTGCATATCTGACTCACATCTGTGCTCCTGCTCTTAGCTCAGTGCCTGGTTCCCCACAGGCCTTCATTCAACACGTGTGAGTGTAGAAACTTCTGTAAGCACTGGGCAGAGGGGTTTGATCAATCGCACTGAATGAATAGATGACTAAAATCTAGTGAATATAGTTCTTTTATTATTTATGAGTAAACTATTATAGAAAATACAAAATCATATCAGTGGTTTGTTGTACTAAATGGAAGATATTTATAAAATAACTCTAAATCACAGAAATAATTCATGTTTTGACACTCCACTTACACTTTTTTAAGGAAAAATTACGTAACAGGGGCCTCCTGGTGGTGCAGGGGTTAAGACGCAACCTATGAAGCTGTCTGCAGCCACTGCAGCATGAGTTCCATTCCCGGCCAGCCAGGGAGCTACCCACGTGGCGCAGCAGACCTCTCCTGACACGCCCGCTGTTCCCCTCAGCAGTGTACTTCGGTCAATATGCCTGTTCTGTTCCCCACTGTCTCTGGTGACTCCTCTCACCACCACCCCCACACACCCCCCTCTGGCCTGTACCCCAGCTCTTGTATGCATAAATAAATAAATCTTTTTTTAAAAATTACATAACAGGTCAATCAAGAAAACTGGGATTTGGATCACTCTTGGAAGTAAAGTAAGCAAAAAAAAAAAAGAACTGGAAATCCAAGGTCTCTGCCCTCTCAACAGTGCCAGTCAAGAGGATAAACCAATTCCTTCTTGAGAGAACTGTTTCCTTGCAGGTGCCCACGAGAGGTTGGGAGGTGTCCGCTCTGCTCTGCCCTCCAGGGTCCCCTGCCTCGCTCCCCCTATCTCTCGCCATGACAGAATTTTCTCAAAACCCAGTATTACACTGACCAGGATCATCTTCCCACCTCCTCCTTGACAGGACTCTTTCTCATCCTTCCCCTCCATCAAAGCAGGACTTCTCCTCTGGCTCCATGTACACCCTCCACACATTTCCTATTCCTCGTGGCAATGAAACTTCAGCCTAAGGAGAGTTTTCAACTTGGGATTTCCTTCTCCATGAAGGCAGAGATTATATATTTTCTCTTCTCTGTCCTCTGACCTGGAGTGTAATTTTGATTCTAAAAGACATGGTTTACTCTCTGCCAGCAGACGGACCAGGACTCTGACAAGCAAAAATTCAGGAACATATGAGACACAGAGCATGGGGAACTGGCCCTCACTTATTCAAGGTGTTCAGCATAGCATTTAGCTAGTCCTCATTCACTAGAGTTCCTTAGATGTTGATCAGAGGATTATTCACATTCCCCAAAGCTCATATAATCGACCTGGTATTTTTCACTACTGTCAGTATGAGTTCTCTTATACTTTCCTCTGAAACAGGGTTAGAATTAGTGGATTAAATAATTATCCTACTTCATTTTAAAGACCTAACTTAAACTCATAAGCTGGACTTGAAAATAAACATCACTAGCGACAGCGTACGGGCGATGACCGACACATACAACAGTCACCTGCACACATGATAGAACCTTCCTCTTCTGAAGAGCATGAACTGTATTTCCAAGGGTCAGAAGGACACTGCCAGAGAGACGTATCAGTTTTCCTACACCGGATTCCATCTACCCACCGGGGTCTAGACCCTTGCCTAACAGCAACCGAAGAGATGAGGGCTCCGCTGTCCCCACAGCCAAGCTGCCTGCAGATCACAGACAAGGTCGTGGCGTCCATGGGGCTGCTGCACACACTGCCCCAGGTCCCGTTGTAGAAAACTTCCAGCCACCCAGCACAGTCCTGGTCCTCGCTCACCACCCTGAGGGCCAGGAACTCTGAAAGAGAAAGGGGGAGACAGGGCACCATGAGCACCCCACTCAGCGCTCTGGGCCCTCAGCAGGGAAGAAATGCTAGATGCTGCTTCCTGACAAAACTACAGAATCTGCTAAAGCAGGTGTGATTGGGGTGGGGGAAGATAACTCCACCAAAGATGTCTGCATCATGATCCCTGGAAACTGTGCATATCATCAATTAACATGTGCATACGAGACCTTACACGAAAAGAGACTGTGCAGATGAACTAAGTGAAAACCTTGGAAGGTTTTAACCTGAACATTGAGGATTAACCAGGCGAGCCAAGTGTAATCCCATGTGGGACCCACTGTCTGTAAAAGTGCTGGTTAGAGAGAGAGAGGTGATTATAGAGAACGGTGAGCTAGGTGTAACACTGCTGGTCTGAGGACCAAGGAAGGGGGCTCTGACGAGAAGTGCAGACAGGTTCTACGAAATTGGAACTGATTCCTCCCCAGGACTTAGAAGTGATGCAGCCCTTCTCACACTTTGATTTTAACCCGGTGAGATAGTGTTGGATTTCTAACCTAAAAGACTGAAAGATGATAAATATAAGTTGCTTTAACCAATAATTATGTGGAAACTTGTTATAGCACGTAGAAACCATTACAAGATTCTGTATTATTATAAATTCTGTAACTGAAGAGTGAGCCCTACTTGCAAATGAAAACTGTAGGACGTGGCTCCATCAGATGTTGCTAAGAAGGAAGGACCAGAGCCTCAGCTGCCACAGGAAGGAAGGAGACACCTAATCCTCATATGTACTAGAGAGACAGGCACTCTGGAGGAAGCTTCCTACCCCTCTTGTCTTCCAGACTCAGTCCTCAAAGTGTTTCCCCCACCATCCCAAAATATACCCCTAGCCCCTGGACAATGTGCAGCACAGACCTGAGCAGATGACCCCAGCATCCTCCTTGTGCCTACAGTCATGGCGCCCCCAGCCTGGGGATGGGCACTTCCACACCTGGGACTCATTTCCTGTGCACTGAAGCTCCTCCAGCCAGATGGGCCCTGCTCCCTGCCCGAAGTGAGCAGAGACCGTGGCATTGAGGGCCTCCCCACAGCTCAGCTGTCTGCACACCACATGGGCATCACGAAGGTCCCAGCCGTCATCACAGATGGTGCCCCAGGAGCCCTGGTGAAGGATCTCCACTCTGCCAGCGCAGGGATGGCCTCCGTTCACCAGGCGAAGCTGTGTGCTGTCTGCGGAGAGAGTCAGGTCAAGGGGGCATCTAACCCGGAAGGAGAAGCTTTCCTGGTCCTGGAAGGCCCTCACCTGAGCAGTTGGCTGTGCCCTCCTCTGAGGCTGCAGAGCCTGCTGGTGGAGACAGGGAGTGGGTGCACAGGGGCAGCACCTGGGTCTGGTTTCCTGCAGGGCAATGAGGTCAGAGGGTTAGTGGGGTTGAAGAGCAGAAACTGAATTAAACTACATGATAACATAGTGGAGAGGTCTGAGATGGACACTCTAACAAGACACTCATGGCATCATTAATTTACAGTTCACTTCCTGTGTGAAATTGTGCCCCAAAAGACCAATATTTCTGTTTTGAAGACAAATATTGAGAATCACTAAGAATGAATTTAGAATATTGGGAATACGGCAATAGTGTTGACGGATCGCAGAGCTTCCAGGACAGTGAGCATTTTGGAGCCAGATGCCCAGAGAGAAGCAAAGAGCAGGGCTGAGCCTATTTTCCCTTGAGAACTTTGTCAATTCAACATTATAGATACATTATAGATGTGACTCTGAAAACCTCAGCAGAGATTTGGAAGCAGGAGTAGTAAAGTGGGAGATCAGAGAAGAATATAAGGAAGACAGCACAGGATGAAACAGTAGAAAACATGAAAAGGGGCACAAGAGATATGGCAAAAGGTTTAAGTCACATATTTATAAAGTTTTAGATTCTTAAACACACAAATGAAAGAAGGAAATGCAGAATCTAAAATCCACTATCACAGTGAGACATTTCAACATCCTGGTGCTGTTTAAACACATCCACAAAATTATTTGCTAAGGTGTCCACTGAGCAGTGAGGTCTTTGCCTCATTCCCTTGCACCTCGAATGATCTTCATGACAGGCTTGTAGGCAACGTAATACTGTGGAGGCAACACTGCTGATTTCCTGCACAGGGACAGAAAAGTCATGCAGTCTCCCCAGTCTCATTGAGGACATGTGCTTTAGGGGAGCTGCTCTGCTGAGCGTGTCCTGAGGAGAGCCATAGGCAGGGTGTCTGCTATCCTGTCGTTGAGCATCCTGGTTCCCAGTTCAGGCATGTCTTGTGTGACTTCAGCCCAGATGACTTCAGCTATGTGAAACCGCAAATAGAACTGCCACTGAGCTTCCCCATTCCTGACCCAGAAATCACAGCAAAAGGAAACGCATTTTTATTTCTGTTGCTAAGTTTTTTGGGGAAAATAGTAGCAATAGTAGCCAGGACACTTGTCATGTGACCTAAAAAGGAAGAAAATGCTTTTCAACTAAGCTTCTCCTACAGAGAATTTAAAATGTGTGTGTGCAGGATGTGTGCATAGATGTTGAGAACATCTTCATTCACAGGAGCTAAGACTTGTTCCTTTTGGGTCAAGGCAGTAGGAAGAAATAAGAAGGCTGATGGGCTAGGAGGAATTATGTTGGAATTCATTAAGGAATGAAGAAAATGAGATTGGAAGAAGTAAAATAAAATGTTTGCCTTAAATGATCATATTTTGAAAAATGTGTATTCAGAAGCCAAAAGTGAAAGATGTGTCTCAGTAACTGAGAGAAAAGCTATCAGTAGGTATTTGGAATATCTGAATTGTATGATTTGCATAATCTGCACCTCAAAAACAGAAAAATACACATTATTCTTAAGAGCATGTAGGCCATTAATCAAAACTGATTGTATGTTATGGTAAATGAGTTCCAAATGTTTTTCAGAGGAAAAGCTAAGAGAAAGTCTAACAATTGTTTATATTGACCACAGAGAAAACTGTTAAAAAATTAATTAAAACTGGTAAAAAATTAAGTTGTATTAAAATCTACTTCTCATACAATAAAACACCAATACTAAGAGAACATGGGGTACATTCTGACAAATACTTTTATCTCCATAACCCACTTTTCACTCATGAACCAGTTTTCCCACAAGCCCTGCTCTGAGGGACCCGAGCACCCTGAGTGCAGTTAGCGCCCCCCTCTCACCGGAGCAGATCACAGAGGCTGTGTTTCCAGGGCCACAGTCAGGAGCGCCCAGAGCAGTCACAGAGCAGTTCCACAAGAAGGTCTCAGCCCCTGAGCAGTGAAATCGGCCCCTCCAGACCTGGTCAGCTCCTCCCCTAGAGCGTGCTCCTTCAGGGGTGGACAGAGCCACTCCACAGCCAAGCTGCCGACACACAACGTGGGCATTGGCCAGACTCCAGTGGGAGGCACAGAGCATGCTCCAGTGCCCTGAAATGTTCATCTCCACCTGTCCCTCACACTGAGAGCTGCCGTTGTTCATGAGCCGCACTTCTGTGTATGCTGGAAGGAGAGGACAGGGCTTCAGTCAAAGCTCATGTGTTTCTTACCCCAACATAGTAGGCAGGGAGGGTGAATCCTGCTCAGGTCTCACCTGAGCAGACAAGGTGAACAGCCCCGCGGTGGTGGCAGGTGCCTCCAGGACAGGGCACCCTGGGACACAACCAAAGCTCTGGCTCCTGCCCCTCACACCAGAACTCCTCAGCAAAGACCCGTCCATCTGACTCTCTGAAGGGCACGCCCCCCAGCACAGACGCAGCCTTGCCACACCCCAGCTCTGCACAGATGACCTGGGCAGTGGGGGATGTGAAGTTCCCATCAGACACTGGAGTCCAGTCTCCTCTGGAATGCACTTCCACTCGCCCTGAGCAGGGCCCAACCCCTCCAGACAGACGCACAAATCCTAGAGAAAAGAAAAGTGAGTGAGAGTTCACGACCCCATAGTTCCACCACCAAATCACCCATGGACCATTGTCTCTTCCCTCCCCTGTTTTTACCCTCTCTCCCCCGGCCCTTCTGTGACCTCAGCTCTATGGTCAGTTTTCAAATTTCCTCATTTATGTGACCCTTTTTACAGTTTCTCTATATTCCATATTTAAGTGAAACCATCAGATAGATATCTTTTTCCTTCTGAATTATTTCCCTTAGCCAAACCCCTTCCAGCTCCATCCATGCTGCAGTAAATAGCATGAGTTTCATAGGAACATTTTAATATGTGGGCAAAGACTGATATCATTAGTGAGAAGTAGCATTTTAATATTCTAATAATTCCAACAATGTTCATCCAAGGTAAACAGAATTTTTTCACTACATAAAAACACCCAATACTTTGGTGTCATTTGTGTATTTATTAGAATGTATATGCAGTTTCCACACAACTGAAGTCCGGGGAAGAAACTGGCTGACCTGGACCTCCTCCCTCAACTCCTGACAGGCCCCTCTGAAGAGAGTGAGTGAAATGTCAGGGTGAAGACTGTGCTCTCACTGACAGCTCCTGTCGAGCTCCTTGTCCATTTACTGGATATCATTGCCACTGATCTGACCTTTAAATGAAAGGTCAGGATAAGGTTCTAAAAATCTGGGTAAGTAGGTGAAATGGCAGGGGGGAAGAAAGATAGTTTTACCAAGGGCCACTGAGTTTGGAATTGATCCATTTAACCTAACACAATCCCAAAGAACCAACATAAGGAAAACTGAAGATAACAAAACCGTCTTATTTTGGCAATGGGCATTGTAGAGATCTGGGCTAATTCTGGGTCATAAATTTGAAGAGATGCAGACACACTGTTACCTCAGTCAGAAGGATCAGAGGCACCCAGACCCACACCGACAAATGTATGGCACTTTTATTGATAAATATCAATGTGTTTACAAAAGAGACATTGATGTGGAGAAAAAGGAACTCTCCTACATTGCTGGTAGGAGTGCAAACTGGTCCAGCCACTATGGAAAGCTGTCTGGCGTTTGCTCAGTCCACTAAAAATGGAGCTTCCATAGGACCCAGCAATTCCACTACTAGAGATCTACCCAAAGGACACAAAAATATTGATTCAAAAGACCACCTGTACCCCTATGTTTATTGCAGCACAATTTACAATAGGTAAAACCTGGAAACAACCCCAATGCCCAAAAATAGATGACTGGATCAAGAAGATTTGGTACATATACACAATGGAATATTATTCAGCAATCATAAAAGATAAACACATGCCATTCGCAGCAATGTGGATGGAACTAGAAGGAGTTATGCTCAGTGAAATAAGCCAGAAGGAAAAAGAAAAATATTGGATGGTTTCACTTATCGGAGGAATATAGGGGAAACAAATAAGACATCAGGAGAAAAAATTAATAATAATACAAAACACAACAAAACAAATCAAAAACAAACAGACAATTTAAACCAGAGACATCCTGCAGGGGAGAGGGGAAGGAACAGAGGGAGGGAGGAGCACAGGGGACTGAGGTGATGGTGCACAGGTGAATTGGTGGAGGAAATTCTATGAGACTACACCTGAAGAGGGGGAGCAAATATTGCTTAAAAATGAACAATGATGTAAAACATATAAATAAATGAATTTTTTAAAAATCAATGTGTTTAAAGAGATGTAAATAATACAGGAGATGCTCAAGCACTTTGTCCTTATTTTAGGCCAGAGAAGCAGAACCCAGGGCGGTTCTGTCAGAGGAGTGACTGGTTCAGGATTACTGAGTTGGTGCACACTGACCTCCTGATGTAGCTGTTTGGTAACTGTTTCATGCTCCTGACAGCAGCTCCACATCCCAGGTTCCTGCATAACAGTTTATCTTCCTTCAGGCCCAGTGTTAAGTATATCTCTGGCCCTCTCTCCTTGCTACTAAACCCCTACTCTTCCCTTACTGGGGTGACCCCACTTTCCAATCTTGCCCATGTGCAAGAAAGACATCACCTGTGTCATAGCAGAGATCTCAGGGACCATCCTGAGGAATCTGATCTCTGTATCCAAACCTGAGTCTGGAGAACCCAATTTTCCACACCTCAGCTTCAGCTTTGGGCTATTTTGGTCAGAGGACATTCCGCTCTCATTCTTATGGCTTAGGATTTGGTTTTATCTAGAGAAGCGTGGTAGCAGGAATGACCAGATCGGTTATCACCACCTTTCTTTCCTTATTCCTTCCCCTCTGACCAAGATGCCTCCTCTGTCCTCCCTGCAGCTGTGACTCATCTGCTCGAAACCAACTCTCAGGGCCTCTGACCAGCAGCCTCACCTGCCTCTGATCCTTCCGGGTCCTCATCCATCCCTCCAGGCTCTCATACTTCTGTTGGAAAAGAGCACTGGGTGCCTGAGATGTGGGAAATGTCTCCCCTGGATGTGGCATTTGACACCAGGGAGCCACAAAGACAAGGTATCTTCTTTGAACACAAAACTCGTCCTCCACCTTGGGACAATGGGGCTGCCCTGCACCTTGAAAGCCAGAGGTGGTCATGGTGACCTTCCCCTCAAGGGCTGCAAAGGGAAAGGAGAGTGGGTCATGGGGAGTCCAGAAATGGGCCAAGATTCAGCCTCTGATTGGGAAATGAAATGGAGACCGGCAGTTTCAGAGGAGGCGTCTCCAAGCTCAGCACAGGTTTGCTACCTGGGCAGAGAGAGGCCATATTGAGATGCCCCTTTGTATTGTTTGATTCAAAATACAATTGTCATTTCAGAGCTTGACAATTTCTAGAAACTTGTCTCAGTGCTGGGAATGTGAATTATAATAAATCAATGTTCCTATCTCTTTAGGACTTTACTTCAAGTAGAGGAAAACAACCAGTAGACAGAGGAAAGTTTTTGAAAAGATTAGGAGACACCTGGACAGCACAGTGCAAGGGGAACTGCAGCTTCAAATGGCGATTATTTACATGAATCAACCTCACTTCACTCTTATAAAAAGTAAATTATAAAAGAATCATGAAGAATCATTAAATTGATTTTAATCAGGATGATAATAGAAAAAGTTGTTTTGTCAGGTAAGACCAATGCAGAAGGAAATATTAGTAATTTCTTTAGGATAGAGGACGCTCATCATTCACAGAAGCTTTGTGCCCTCAGGACTATGGAGAGATGGAATATGTCTCCGATCTCTCTGGCCCATCTATCTCTGCTGTCCCAACAGACACCATCCTCCTAGGAATTTTCCATTCCCTCAGCCCCTGAAAATGCACTGACCATACCTGAGCAGATGACTCCTGCATCCTCGGAGTGATAGCAGCTGTTGAGCCCCCAGCCCGGGAACAGGCACTTCCACACGTGGGACTCCGTTCCTGTGCACTGCAGCACTCCCAGCCAGATGGGCCCTGATCCCTGCCCGAAGTGAGCATAGACTGTGGCCTCCAGCGCCTCTCCACAGTCCAGCTGTCTGCACACCACGTGGGCATCACGCAGGTCCCAGCCATCATCACAGACGGTGCCCCAGGCGCCCTCATGAAGGATCTCCACTCTGCCGGCGCAGCGATGGCCTCCGTTCACGAGGCGGATCTGTGTGCTGTCTGCGGAGATAGTCAGGTCAAGGAGGTGCATCTAATAGGAAAGAGGAAGGCTGCCCTGGTCCTGGGGGCCCTTGGCCTGAGCAAATGGCAGTGCCCCCCTCTGAGGCTGCAGAGCCTGCTGGTGGAGACACAGTGCTTGCACTTGGGCAGCACCTGGTTTCCACAGCAACAAGCAGAACAATAGAGTTGAAAACAATAGGAAAAAACAGGAGAAATGGAGCTGAAAACAACTAGCGAGCAGTCTAAGAGAGAAGGTGCGACCAGGTCCAGTCAGGGTAACCCTGATGTAGAGTCTACACGGCATCTGACAAGATGTCCCGAGATGTCAGAATCTCTGCCCTGAGCAGTTAAATGAGTGCAGAGTGGCTGTAGAGGGCTTGTAGCTGGTGGATTCCTTAAAAATTACACCCATATCCATGCTATTGAATAAAGGGAACTGTTGGGAGCTTATCAGAATCCTCTCGAGGCAGCCAGGAGACCCGTTTCCGTCAGAGCTGTTCTTGCCATAGTCACTCACAGCTGAAGAATGAAAGGACCATGAGACAGGCTAGGATTTACCCAGAATATTTCATTTATGGTTCTCGGCTCCAGAAGGAACTTCTCTATGAGTAGACGGGGCCATCTCTCACAGGAGATGATGGAGATGAGGCTAACATTGGCCAGAGACACTGGACATCACACACCTGCTTCTTCCCTGAGACAGTATAATCTCTACTTGAATTCATGTCAGGAACTGCTATTACTCAAAATTTGGAGTTATTCAGTGTTTAGGAGAAAATATAACGTATCTCTAACTCCACCATGGAGTAGAATCAGGTTATATTCCTGAGCTGAAAACACTCAGACCGATTTAACTTTTCTGTCATTTTCAGCTGCTGTATTATTTTCTCCTTTTTATATACAAAAAAAAATTGCACTGAGAAGTTCAACAATGTGTCATTATTGCAATTTAAGTAAGGATGAAATAGAAAGTAAAACCTAGAACTTCTAAAAATAAAATAAAAAATAAATAAAATAAAAAATGGGGGAGTTGTAGGTTTTATTCTCCATTCCATGACTGACTTAAAGTAAGCGCTGGTGCGCAAGTGTGAAATAGGAGATATGAGGCCCACGACATAAAGCAGGTTTTCTTGCAAATATTTGCCCATTGTACATGTTGTTCAGGAAAGGAGGCCAAGAACTATGTCAAAACTCTTGGAAAGCAGAGTGGCTGTTCTTTTATTCTCTTGGTGCTGAGCTACCAAAATATATCCAATCTCTCAGCTGAATTCTGAGTTCCCAAAATGCCCTTTATCCAGGCACAGAGACAGGCAGAGGTAGACTGTCACCCAAACTGCCAGCGAGGCTTGTTCCAGCTCAGGTCTGGGTTACAGTTAGATATCTCGGTGCTCAGCAGCACCAGCCTCACCTGCCTAGCTGAACAGAAGATGATGCTTCCAGGTATCAGGAAAGATATATGGAGTTTCTTATTTTTTCATACACAATTTTTAATATCAAATAGGAAGTGACATGGCATGTAGAAAGAGGGGCTCACATGACATAGTGAAAAGGAAAGCATTATAAGAGAAGTTAGAAACACACATAGCAGATGAGAGTTTTAACTATGATTCATGAATTTAGTGAAAAAAAAAGGGGGAGAAGAAGACAAGAACAGTTAAAATGAAAAGAACTTAACATAGAATTGTAAATATATTAAAGATATCAAAGTAACAGTGGCCAACTGAAGAGGAGGACAGAGACAGAACAGTGAAGTAATACTTGAAGAGATAATGGTTGAGAATTTTTTAAAAATGGATGAAAGCTATAACTCACATTTTCAAGAAGCTCAGAGAATATCAAGGAAGATACGAAGACCCCAACACCTTGTAAAGCTGATAAAAATCATAGCAAAACAGAAATATCGTTGTTTAAAAAAAAAAACAGAAGGCCTAAAAATGGGGAGAAAGGGCATGTAGGGCCAGTGAGTCAATTAAGAGTAAATGGTCCAGGGCCTCCCTGGTGGCGCAGGCAGCTGAGCGCAGCGCTGTGAAGCTGTTCGCAGCTTCTGCAGCACCGGTTCAATCCCCACCGGTCTCGGAGCAACCCACATGGTGAGCAGACCTCTCCTGTCTTGCCCGCTGCTCCCCTCAGCAGTGTACTTTACTCAGTCTGCCTGTTCTGCTCCCCGCTCTGGTTCTGGTGAATCCTCTCACCCCTACCCCCGCACCTCTGGCCTGTACCCCAGTTCTTGTATGCATAAATAAATAAATCTTTTTAAAAAATTTTAAAAAGCAAATCAGGATAAAACAACAAAATTCAAGTAAATGTTACCTGTCTAACATACAAGCCCCTTTAAAACAGGGACTTCACATTCAGAAAGGATGACAAGGAGCGGCAGGTCCTGACTGCATGTGCGGAGCTCACGGGAGAGTCAGGGCTCTTTGGCACCTGACACCAGGGCTGCAATTAAACAAGGAGATGGGGCAACTTGTGTGCACTGGTGCCTTAATATGTGAGCCTGTGCTTGAGTCATATGCTTTTCAAGATATTGTCTCTGAGGAGAAATCATGCTTGTCAGATTAAAGTGTGGTTTCTTCTTGATAAAATGTACTCATTGCTCTCACAGCTGGAGAGGCCAAAATGGAATCAGCACCAATTTTATATTTCATTTTCAGAATGCACTTCTACCCCTAAGAACCTGCAAAGCCTGCAAAGGATAGCCAACCTCACAAAGTGTCAATAATCAGGAATGGAAGATTCAAGAAATGTAAGTGAGGAGCAGACTCCATTGAGAGGAGAATTTCCCAAAAAATAGAGAGATGGAGACTTCTGAGTGGAGGGGCTTGAAATCAGGAGGAAACAGGGAACTGGAAAGAGGTGGAGAGGGAGGAGCATCTAGAGCAGCCAGGCCCAAGGCCCACACCTGAAAGACTGGGCTGACCAGGATGTGCCAGATCATTGTCACATCAGGGCTCAACCCTGATATCTTCGGCCCTGCTGGTCAGGGGCCCAAGGGAGAGCAGATGCCATGTCAAGTTTGCAGAACTACAAGGCGAAAACCCACGTAAGGACATTCACAAGTCAGGGCTCTTCCTCAACAGCAGACCCTTAAGATGTCACGGACATGATAAAGTCCCCAATGGGACGGGGAACACTGGCCAAGAGGGGCCCATTCTGGTCTCACAGGCCACAGCCCTCTGCCTGCAGTGCTTATCTCAGTACACCCAGGGACACCCACATTTGGATCCAATTGGATCATGTCCAATTTTCTGCTGCTCCTTGGGGTGAAGGACCATGGAGCCAACAGGTAGGAAGGGAAACACCACAGGCAGGGAGACAGAATCCTGCCAGCACCCAGTGCTGGGGAAACGGCAGTAAAGCAGAAAACGTTTGAGCTGTGGGTTTGTGGGGAAGAAAAAATCACCTCAAATTTAGGCTTAGATTGCAGGTGCAAGGTTATCTGGGGGTGTAATTAAAGTTTCTATTGGGAGGGTTTTCCTTAAAGGCATCCATATCTGCCCTCATCATAGACACCAAAACTCATATCACCACCACCACCACTTCCACCACAATCCAGCCATCTGACTAGAGTGTTATTCTGTGCACTCCTTTCTAGAAAGGTACTTCCATAGGTAGGCATGCTCCTGCTCACATATTTACCTTTCACATGCACTTTGTTTTTTTTTTTTGTTTTGTTTTGTTTTGTTTTAAATAATAAATTTTATTTTTATATTCTCCATACAATTGCAACCCCCCCATTCTGACCCCAATCCCTCCCTCCCGCCCTCCACCCCCCAAAAAGTGTCTCTGTTTCATAGTTTTTTGTTGATTTTGATTTTCACTTTCTTATAGTTATTCATCACCTGGCAGGGGAGATACCATGATCACATGCACTTTGAATTCACTTTTCACCTCTCTCTTTCTCTCTCTCTCTCTCTCTCTGTCTCTCTCTTGCTCTCATCCTTAGGCTAAAGGAGCAAAAACCAAGAATCATGTTGGGGAGACACAGGCAGGAGGAGACTGCAGGCAGGAATCTCAAAGATGCAGCCTTAGGAAATCACTCTCATAATCCTTTACAGGAAAACTGGGAAGTCATCAGACATTTTCATTATTTTAGATGTTATTGGGGAGGACCAAACGCAGATGCTGGTCAATTGACAACAAGCTTTGACTATTGGCAACATCTCTCATCTGAACTTGAAAAGCAGAGCCCCCAAGGAAAAAAAAGGAACATTCGCCATCACTAAAGATCACAGTGGGACAAAATCAAGTGGTCAACGGAGAGAAGTTGCCTTTGCAATCCCGGGACTCACCCCCAGAGAATGAAAACTGATCCAGCATCTCTGCTGATCATAGGAAGGGAGGCTCCTCTTACCTTGGGCGCTTGCTAGGACAGCAGAGAGGAGAACAGCAAGTCCTGGGAGAAAGACATGTCCATTCGTGGTAGCTATGAGCCTCATGCTATCAGGAAACTGCCTCAGTGTCCCCAAATATACAAAGAAGCCCTCAGTCCTTACTGGGGGTTCCCACTCCCAGGAGGGGTTTAAATAGTCCCACCCCTTGTCTTTGCCATCGTCCGGGAGCCAATAGAAACCCTATTGAACATCGTCCCTGCATCAAACACTCCATAAATGGAAACTTACTGAGGTTCAAACCCCAATTAGATGCTCTATCTTAACTGTCTCCTTGTAAGAGAGAAGAAGTTTTCTGACATCAGGTGTCATCTGGCCCCAGAGCGGACACAGAAAAGATAAATTAAAGAAACATGCGTGACTCTCTTTCCTCCAGCCCATGGTCCCAGGTAAAGAAGACTTTTTGTTAATGCAGCCTATGTCTCCTGCGTCAATTGACCGACATGTTCTGGCTCGAAAGAAACAAGAAGCCTCTAACAGTAAGAACAAAAAGCCAGGTGGTTACAAAACTGGGATTAGAATGATAAATTCTAGGGGAAAAAAGAAGTTGAGATTGGCATTAAAGGAACATAGTCATTAGCCTGAAGGGTGAGGCTCCTCTTTTTCCAC